TTTTAAGGGTTGGGGTGTGAGCAGTGAAAATTAAGTTCAACCCCTACCCCTTAAAACAGCAAGCTATACAGGCTTTAGTGAACTTCACACAATACCTTGAGTAATACCTAATCTTCAATAAATTCATCAATAGTCTGAAAATCACATTCCAGTTCTACTTAGAGGTCAACGATACTGACTAAAGTTCACACTCCATTTACCATAAATCATCTATATAGCTCACAGTACTGAAATTCACAAATTGGTTTGTGTTCCTAGGTAAAAAATGCCGACCATTTCTCGCAGTATGTTACCGAGGACTTTGACGAATACATCAAACGGAAACGCGCGAATAATTGCCATGGCAACAACATTGAGATGCAAGCGTTGAGCGAAATGTACAATAGGACGATCGAAGTATACAAGTATAGTTTAGGTAAGGTTCCTTACAGGGCCGAGAATGCTTTTGAAATGTGTTATACATGAGAATTGGATTTGTATATGTAGAGCAAGATCTTCAGTCATTTGGCCTATATAGGACAGGTTCCCAGCACTGTCTAGCAACGTATTGTAGCGTGAGGCGGTTTCTACAAAAAAACGAAAACCGACCAAAAAAACCGGAAAAACCCCGAGTGAACCAGTTTTTTAAAAAAATACTTTTGAAAATTGAAACTACGGTAAAAAAAGTCACAACATGTTACTCAGTACTCACGCAAGATATTAAACGTAAGGTATTTTGAAGACATCAAATTTCAAACAAAATCTCTTTAGTTTTTCGTGTGTAAATGCCAAAACTTGATTCATTTGCAATAAACTTGTATAAGTATGGTTCGATTTTAGTAAAATACCGATTTTTCTTGGGATTTTTTTCGTTCTTCCGGTTTTTCTCCAAAAGTAACATTGAGTATTTCGGTTTCAAAAAACATATTTTTTTCCGCTTTACCGAAAAACCACCTCACCCTAGCGTATTGTCATGTTTTGTGCTCACAATTTACAGATATGTTGAATAAATATAATTTAATAATTATATAAAATATAAATCCGGGATTCTCTTGATGATTGCGTGAAAGACAAGATAGATATTTGAATATTTTATTGTTTTTTGTAATTTTTATTTTCATTATCAAATACTTATAATGTTAGATGTTCGACAGCAAAATATTTTCCAAATGTTTGCCCGAAAAGCAAATAATGCTTCTCTAGAGGGCCTACATTAATTATTTTCAAACAAACACACACATAGACAGACATACTTGTGAGCCAAGTAAGCGATAGCGACAGAGAAGCGATCAGTATTCAATATATAAGTTTGAACTAGACGAAAAAGCAAACAATGCATGTGTGATTCTAGCTATGGACGAAATATTGATCAAGGCAAGAAGAACGAAATCCAACACCACAGCTAGAAAGAGCATCTTCAAATGAGTAAAACTGCAAAGATTGGTTGCGAATTATTGCAAAATGAAGAAAATATAGCCCTGTGAAGTTCGCAAATTTTGTATTTATTTGGTATTACACGCGTAATCACTTTCCACTGGTTATTTTTCCCGCGCGCAATGCAAATATTTACAAAATTTGCGAACTTCACAGGGCTATATTTTCCTCATTTTACAACATTTTGCAACCAAACTTTGCAATTTTACTAATTTCAAGACGCTCTTTCTAGCTGTGGTGTTGGATTTCGTTCTTGCCTTGATCAAAATTTCGTCCATAGCTGGAACTCACCTATTCTCTCTATAACTCAGTTAAATTTTCACAACCCTCAGGGGTTTTTTCAGGGATTTTTTAGGACCGTAAAACGGCCCCAAAAACTCAATCTTGAATTGAGTTTTGAAACTCAATCTTCTCATCAAAAGATTCTGTGCAGTAAAATGAAGTTGTTTGAGTTAAATTCATGACGTGTGCAAATTAGTTTTCAGTTGAAAACCCGAAAATTAAGTAAAAAATGGCTGGAGATCATTTCAAAACACAAGAAAAACAACGCATTCGCCGTCTTTAACCAGTGTATTGTGGCCCTTAGTGCCGCTGCTTTAACACATTGCATCTCAACTACACTAAGGTAGGCACAGGTTTCAGCCTCGGGGGGGGAGAGACAGCCGCCCCAGACCCCTAGTTGTTCAGCTCAACTCAATCTTGTCTGCAAAAACGGACCCAAGAGAAAATCCTGAAAAAAACCCTCAACCATGCATGTAATAAACAACTAAGTTTTTCATTTTTATTTCAACTTTATTTCTCCAGAACCAATCAACACTTTTCATGCATCTTATCAATCTGATTACGAACCAATTCGAGTCAGTTATCATGGGAACATCCATTATAATTCCGTCATTGATCCGTACAACCCGTCTGTTGGCGTCGGGTTAGGCTTGGCTGGCTATAACCCTAAGGTGGGTAGCTTTCTTTGTACTGTTACATTTGGATAGAGCTGTAGCAACCAGCGGTCGGTGTGTTCATGAATGTTGAATCATTTTGAGAATTGTAGTGATGTAACTTTACTTTTTTTGGGACATGAAAAATAGTTGCCCTGAATACAATTCACTTGCCATCAGACAATGGACACTGGTGTACCTAGGTAGGGGGTATAAATTAAGGGGACAACATGTCAACCCGCTCTCCCACTTCTCTATATGGCTATGTTATACTGTCTCAGATCTAGCTTTGGCCCACAAGAAACAAGATTTGAATCAACTACATGCACTATAAAAAGATGCCCAGCTTTTTGTGGCAAGTCAACTAGCCCAATCGCGCAAGCAAGATAAAACGTTTACTTTTTTTTTATTTAAACATATTTTATTCTCAACATTTTCTCCAAAACGTTTACTTGCCCGTCATGATATTGCCACGCGCAAGTGACAGTGTTAAGTTACACCTCTGAATTGTGTTTGATGTTTTTAGCTGACAGAAAAGAAAAATCTTCATGAGGCTGTGAAAAAGTCTGAGGAGCCTTTGATTGAGCAGGTAAAATGTTACCATAAACGTACAGCTGGTCTACGTCTGTTTTGATCAAAATGCACCTATTCAGGATGGTGAAAAATTTTAAACGCCATAGATATATTCCTCAAGGCCTCGAGAGGTTAAATCTTCACCAGAGAAATAGCATTGTTACGAATGCCTGTCACATGTCGGGATCCTAGGTAGCAGCGCTACCTGCAAGTGCCTGAAGCTAGCTGCAATCCTTCGTCAGAAGGTCTCATGCATGCTTAAGTAAGGTAGAAAATTTCAAGAACTCCCTTTTCAAAAACCAGAACTCCCTTTTCAAATGCCAAAACTCCGTTTTCAAACGCCAGAACTCCGTTTTCAAATGCCAAAACTCCATTTTGAAATGCCAGAACTCCGTTTTCAAAAGCCAGAACTCAGTTTTCAAATGCCAGAAACTCCGTTTTCAAATGCCAAAACTCAGTTTTCAAATGCCACAACTCAGTTTTCAAATGCCACAACTCTGTTTTCAAATGCTAAAACTCCGTTTTCAAATGCCACAACTCTGTTTTCAAATGCCAAAACTCAGTTTTCAAATGCCACAACTCTGTTTTCAAATGCCACAACTCTGTTTTCAAATGCCAAAACTCAGTTTTCAAATGCCACAACTCTGTTTTCAAATGCTAAAACTCAGTTTTCAAATGCCACAACTCTGTTCCCAAATGCTAAAACTCAGTTTTCAAATGCCACAACTCTGTTCCCAAATGCTAAAACTCAGTTTTCAAATGCCACAACTCTGTTTTCAAATGCTAAAACTCAGTTTTCAAATGCCACAACTCTGTTTTCAAATGCCCAAACTCAGTTTTCAAATGCCACGACTCTGTTTTCAAATGCCAAAACTCAGTTTTCAAATGCCACAACTCTGTTTTCAAATGCCAAAACTCAGTTTTCAAATGCCACAACTCTGTTTTCAAATGCTAAAACTCAGTTTTCAAATGCTACAACTCTGTTTTCAAGAAGGAGAACTCCGTTTTCGGCTTGATATATGAAAATTTTCGACCAATTGGGTTTGAGCAAATTAGTGGACACTCAATTTTGACAATATGAAACTAACTCAAAAAATTTCTTCGGTGCCTGGTCCCCTGTCGTAATTTGCTAACTGAAAATATTTTTGACTACCTGCAAAAAAACTAAATATACAGGCATGTTGTTACGCAGCCATGTAGAAATATACAGAATTCTGTTTTTCATTTCAATTTGCTTAGTATCCACGTTGAAGGCCCTCCTTTCCACTCAGGAAAATTTTCCGCAGAAAGAAAATTTTGTAAAATGTGATTGGTCGACACAAAAATTTTGAAGTTGAAAATTTTCAACTTTTAACAATGATATTTTCGGAAATTTTTCTATCCGTGAAAATTTGATTTTGAATGAAAATGGTGGGCCTTAATGCAGCTAAATTTCACGTCCTACAGGAAATGTTGCAAGATAAACTACGAGCAACAGATTGGGAAGCGACGTACGAAGCGATGGAGGAAGCCGTTGCTAGGGAATCTTACTTGGAATGGTTGAAAGAAAACGAACGACGCTCGAGAAAAGTGGTATGTGGTTCAAATTTTTGGTCGATAGTACTGTTGAATTAAACTAACTTTATTTACACTGGATAGTTCTACAAGTTCTACACTGTTCTTCCTAGAGGTCCAGTAAGGATCATCTCTTATTGATCCAGTGTTACTACAGGAGGAAACCTAAACTAAGCTAGCTTTATTTATACTGGATAGCTCTATCAGTTCTAAACTGTTCTCCCTAGAGGTCCAGTAAGGATCATCTCTTATTGATCCAGTGTTACTACAGGAGGAAACTTAAACTAAACTAACTTTATTTATACTGGATAGCTCTATCAGTTCTAAACTGTTGTCCCTAGAGGTCCAGTAAGGATCATCTCTTATTGATCCAGTGTTACTACAGGAGGAAACTTAAACTAAACTAACTTTATTTATACTGGATAGCTCTATCAGTTCTAAACTGTTCTCCCTAGAGGTCCAGTAAGGATCGCCTCAAACCTTGGCTACAATGTATACCGAAAACAGGCGTACTTTATGCACAAACCGTGGCTAACCATTAAGACACCATGACCCTCGATATGATATATTTTATTGTTCTCTTTCATCCAATAGCAACATTCCAAAGGTTCTTCGGGAGCTACAAGTAGTACATCAACCGTCACCTCCGGAGAAACATCTCGTCATCGTAACATCTCGTCGCCCACTCGGGCAGAACCGGACAGTCCTCCTCCGAACAAGAGTCCTCGGCACTCTCCCCCAGACTCCCCCAAACCTTCGCGGTCAAACTCTCCAAAAATGACTTCATCCGGTGTACTAATTACATCAACGAGCGTAGTGACGGTCAGCTCCAATCAGTCGAAGTCGCCGACGTATGTAAATTCGTCTCCCAAAAGTTGTTGTTCACAAGGTACCAGCTCTAGGTTCACAGAATATGAACCAAGGGATTATGGCTCTGCTGCATTCGGTAAGTTAAGATCAGGGCCGTTGCGAGGACATTCCAGTCACTAATGGACCATTTGCATTATAGACTAAATTTTGATCTGGACAAATATTTCATCACAGCATGAAAGAGCATCACAAAATTAGTAATATTCCAAAGTTTCGTTGCGAAATGTTGTAAAATGCGGATAATATAGCCTTTCGAAATTTGCAATTTTCAGTCATTTTGTATTACAAACGGGAAATTGATGCCCCAACACCCGATTGGGCTGTCAATTTCCCGTGCGTAATACAAAATGACTGAAAAACGGCAAACTTCGCATGGCTATATTATCCGCATTTTACAACATTTCGCAACGAAACATTGGAATATTACTAATTTTGTGATGCTCTTTCAAACTGTGACGAAATATTTGTCTAGATCGAAATTTAGTCTATAATGCAAATGGTCCATTAGCCTTTTCCCAAAAGAGATCACAGTGCATTCTGGGATCATTTGGAGGGTCAAAACATATGGTGATAGGCGTCAAATATGTGAAAGAGTAGAAGTATCTACTATCAAATATCAACTTTTTACACGATCAAGAATGAAATATCTCCTTTTTACAGTAAACTTTTAATTTAAATGTGTGCTGCCATATTTTTGTCCCTCCAACATGAGATTCACGCGACTACACCCCAGGACTTTTGGAAATAGCTAATTAATATTT